CCTCCGCTCGGCCCGCGGTCGGCTGTGGGGTCGGGTCTGGGTGCCCAGGGCTGGGTCCTGTCGGGTCCCGAAGCCCCGAAGTCGAGGCCTGCACGATCTGCCCGGGCAGCCGCTCCAGGGCCCGGCCGGTTTCACGGGGTTTTCTTACGCCCAGCCTGATGCTCTTGCGTGTCAACACCTGCCTGTCACCTACTGTCCTCCTGCCACACGGCCGCTGTGAGGAGCCTGGGCCCGTCTTCTCAGGCACCTCCCCACAGGCATCGGGGGCTCTGGTTGGGTGTCCCCCCTGAAGCCATCTCTCCTCACAGGTCTCCAGCCCCAACCGTCCTGGGTGGCATCCAACAAACTTGGTCCTGTTTACCGACACCTTCCCTGCAAGAGGCAGGGGGGCAAGACTGGGCATCATCTCCTAGATGTAGTCTATCAAGTGCCAACTGACGGTGGATAATCGGTCTCCTTGATCTAAGGGCTCCGCTCCAGGATGCTGTCAGCCCTCGTTTGCTGCCAGGGCCAGCTCAGCTCACTGCCCACCAGGGCCCCAGGGCTTCCCCATGGAGCTGCTCCCCAGCCGGGCACTCCTGGTCTCTGCTTCCAGCCTGACCCATCACGGGAAACCCTCCATTTCCTTACATCTGACCACAATCTCTAGCTGCCCCTCCTTCTGTGCAGTATGGGCTCTCACTTCCACAGGGTCTCTGGAAAGACCCTGTGAAACTTGTTTTCATTTTCCCTGGTACTGCACAGTCTGCTGGACTCCTCCTCAAGCTCCTTAGACTGGCAATTACCCCTCACCACTGCACGTATCTGGCAACCAAGGGCACCAGCTCCGCACACTCCAGCGTGCCCTTATCCATGGGCCACAATGCCTTCAGAGATATACCTGTTTCAGCGTGGCCTTACGCACAGCTACAACCCCTTCAGAAGTAAACCTACTCCAACATGGCCTTACCCATGGCTGCCGTCCCTCCAGGGGTGTACCTGCCCTGTCATGGGCTTATCCACGGCCACACGCTTTGAGGTGCTCCAGCATGACCTCATGCACAGCCACAGATGCTTCAAGGTGCACCTGCTGCAGTGTGGACTTATCCACAGCCACAGATGCTTCGGCGTGTACCTCCTCCAGCATGGACTTCTCCTTGGGCTACAACGCATTCAGAGGTATACCTGCTATAGCACAGACATAACCACGGCCAGAGACGCTTCCAGATATACATGCTCTGGCGTGGACTTATCAATGATCACAGATGCTTCGGGATGTCCTGCTCCTGCATGGGCTCATCCACAGGTCGCAGTCCCTTCGACTCGAGTTCACACTGGAGTTCCAGCCTGTCCACTACAGCAGCACAGAAACAGCAGCGATGCCCTGACCATCTGCCAGCCCAGGCGCATCACCATTGCTGTTATCAAAATGTTCCCAGGCACAGCACAGTGAGATACTACACAGATAAGCACTACAGCAGTACAGCAAGCAGCGAAAGCAAAAAGCAGCCTCTAACGAGCGCTGGACTCTAATATACAGGGAGGCACACAAGCCCCATGCAAGCACAGGAGCCTGCCAATTACAAGCTAAACACCAATAACAGCTATAAATTTGATCTAGCACATTCCAATCAAACCTGTCGTTATCTCGAACCCTTCAAGTCCCACGTTGGGCACTGACGCATTGGCCAGGAAACATAAGTCTGCCCAAATCCCTCCCAATCCACATTCACCCAGCTCTTGAATGCTGTCACATTGCACTTATACCAAACGGACCCTTGGCACAGGCATCTGCTGCTCTGGGATGAGGCTTCCTACTGCCTCTCACCAGGTCTTTTTATCAAGAGACTGTAAGCCCACCTTGACATTCCCTGTGTGACTGTCCCTTAGCTCATGAGCACAGTCACCACTGCACGCTTGATCCAGCATGCCACCCTCACGGTATATAAGAGGTTGCTGATGGTCTGTATTCGAGGACACCAAGGAAAGAAGCTTCTGCTTTAGGAAAAAAGTCTTTTGCTATGTCAAGTATTTACTTTCTATGAAAGTCACAAGACCTTCTGCGATTGCAGAGAGTTATTTGAAAACATGATCTGCAAAGCTTCACACAAAAAGGCAGATTTGCACATGTTAATTTTATAGCAATTTACTGTTTAAGACATGATTACTTTGAAGTAATCTTAGTCCTTGGAGTTGGCAAACCCAAGTAGATGTTTTAGGAGAGTCTTGAAGAAATAGAAGGAGTAAGGTTAGATTTTGTGGAAAAAATACAGCAGACAACAGTCAGCTAAACTGTCTCAACCAAGTATTTTTCTTCTACAAAGCATTAATTTATTCAAGTATTCTAAGATGCAGACTATACTCTCTACATGCTGTTCTGAGCGTGTTTTGGGATTTTTTTGTTGTTGTTTGCTTTTTTAAGGAAGAAAAGTATTTAGTCCACATGGTAGCTTTCATTTCCAATTACTTCACAAACCAATGTACATATTGCAGGTTAAATTGTTCTCAGTAAGTAGGTCACACATCAAACATAAAATCCATGTAATTATAGGAGAATCGACTCCTAGTGTTAGTAACAGGGCCTTGGGCCCTGACTTTACAAAGGCTTACACAAGACGACAAAGTTACGAATAATCTTAAGCATTTGCAGGGTGTGAGCTTCATTTATTCAAAATTGTCTATTACAGGTTTCCCACCATTTCTGCAGTGCAATAATTACACAGAAGTGAAGGTAACTTGCTCCTACAGAGCAAGTGCATGTAGCATCAGTGGGGCATCTAGCCCAGTATTTTGTCTCCAACGTCAGTAAAAGGAGATACTATTTAGGAAGAGCTCCTTAGCGTGGCCACTTCCCAGTACTTCCCCTGCATCTCTCATTGTATTAGGGATGCTGGAGGGTACATCGCTGCCTATATCCTTCCATGTCCACTTACGGATGTGTTTGCCATCAATATGAATAATGCCTCCTTGAACCTATGGATAGTGTCCAAGTCCCCAACCTCTGGTGGCAATACAGTCTAGAAGTTCACAATCTGCTTTGCAGAAAAGTGTTTTCTTTACGTGTCTCAAAAATGATCTTCTACTGTTTTCACGAGGTGCCTCCTCACTCTCATACCATGGGATTTGGTTAATAACAACTTTATATCCTTCATGATTTTGTAAACCTTGATCAATCCTCTCTCCTGCCTTCTCTCTCCGTATCGAACAGTCCCAGCCGTTATTGCTCTCGCTGCAAGGCAGCGGCACCATCCCTCCTCTGTGCCCTCCCTAACACCTCTACATCCTTCTTGAGCTGTTTAGACAAGAAGTGATGCAGCAATCCATCTGAGGCTGCGCCAGCCTTTTATATAGCGGCTAAACTACTACCTCTATCTTGTTCTCAATATGCCTCCCGATAACGTACTATGTTTTGTGGGGGTTTTTTGATTGCCACTGCACATAAAGTTGATGAGGCAATTTCAGAGAACTGTTTGAGAGCTCCGAGTTGTAACTGCCACTACTAAATTCAGCAAAAGGGAAGCTTAGAAATCTAACCACTTTACAGTGCGGGAGCACGTGAAGGCATGTTGTCAGTTATTGAAAGTTGTATCCCCTTTGTGAAGATCACCACTCTTAAATAGCTCCAGAAGCACAACCCACTTCCCACAACCCATTTCATAAGAATGAAATCTCAAATGCATTTTTAAGTATCTCCAAAGAAAAATAAATCTAAATGCACCATTTTAATTGGAAATGCACAACCTGTAGAATCATACTCAGTGCCTCAGAAAACCAGTGGGAATTGTCAACTTTCCAAAAAGTAACTGTTTCTCATCTACTGAATCCCGGAGTAGTTCAATGAGAAAAGGAATAGCATTTCCTCTTTATTATTATCCCAAGTCTGGAGAATAAAATTAGACTTCATAAAATGTTGGCTGATAACGTAAGTCAGCAAGTAGAAGATTTATCAATATTATGAGATTTTCCCCTGACAATATTTTAGAAATATTTGTCTTCAGACAAAGTCTAAAAGATTTATTGCCTAAGCTGAATGCACCTTTTTTTTTTCTTTTTGCAGTTACTTAAGTAATTTATAACCATAATAACCACTTGCTATCATGAAGCCTGCTTAAATCTGAGAACCATAATGATGGCTTTTAAACTAACAGATTGCAGTCTGAGAACCGTACCCTTCATACTGTGGAACGGGTCGCTTGAAAATCGCTCTTGAGTAAAAAATTCCTTCCAGTATCGTCCATGTGGGCACCCCCACACTTTCCTGAGTAGTAAGGACTCAAGCGTGCTACTCACAACAAATTTTAGAAAATTCTAAATACAACTACTAGTAGTATAATCACTAATATTTTCTGAAGTGCCCCCTGCCTTCCATTTTTACCTGCACTATATTTGGCGAACGACATAAAGATTAGGCAAAATAAACGTATATCCACATCTATAACCCTGTTATTTTTATTTCCGCCAGTGCCCAAGCGCCCTCTTGCATGTTTTCCCCACACGTGGCACGACGACGACGGCATCGATGAGGCCCAAGCAACCCCCTCACCGAAACTCGCAGCCCGGGCGCAAACCCCCCTCATCCTCCGCGCAACGAACGCCGGGGCTGCCGGCTCCCGCGCCAGCGCAGGTGCGTACAGCAACGCACCGCTACGCACCTGCGCAGGCCAGCGCCGACAAACCGACCACCGCTAGACACCCCCTTCCCCCCGT